AAAGGTGGTATTATTAAATATGCTCCCATAATATTAAGTAACTTACGTAGCAATCAGGATCCTGTATGACCCTGAGTCCTCAATGTCTAAAGATGGCTCCATTTTTGCCTTTTTCGCCACAGTTTTACTGAATCCTTTTTTTTCTTCCTTTTTATTGGAAGGATATAAGCAAAGGCAAATGGAAAAAAATGTGGAATAATACACCCTACTCTTTGGTACCGCTAGGCACTGAGTGTGGATTATAGCATGAGCTTGATATCAGTATCCCCTGAGGGAGAGAAGTAAAGTGGGGAGCATCCAAAAGATTCTTCCACCAGGAAGAATCCAAGGTCAAGATACAAAAATCAGTTGTATTTCTAATTGCTAGCAGCAAACAACTGGAAAATTAAATTTATAAAACTATTCCACTTATAATAGCATTAGAAACATAGAAAATAATCAGAAATAAATTTAACAAAAATTGTGTGAGACCTCTACAGTAAACCACAAAACATACATAAGAGAAATTAAACTAGAAAATATGTAAGAGAAACTAAAGAAAACTAAAAGGAAGAGATAAACCATATTTGTCAACTGGAAATCTCAATATTATTAAAATGCAATTCTCCCCAAATTATTCTATAGATTCTACCCAATCCCCATCAAAACTGTCACAATTGGTAGACATTGACAAGTTGATTCTAAAATGTATATAGAAATACAAAAAAAGCTAGGATGTATCATTTTCTTAATTTGGCCAAGAAGAAAGAAACACTTGGGGGATTCACTTGATTTCAATGTTACTTTAAAGGTTTAATAATCAAGACAGTATAATATTGGTATAAGGACAGGCAAAAAGATCAATGAGAGAAAATAGAGAATCCTGAAATAGACCCAAACAGATATGGTCAACAAAGGCACCAAGAGGAAAGAAAATTCTTTTCAATGAACAAGGTTGGAATTACTGGATATAGGGGAGAAGTAAACCTTGACCCCCGCCTTTCACCACACACAAAAATTAATTCAAAATCATCATAGACTGAAATGTGAAGATTAAAACTACAACAATCCTAGAAGAAAACATAGGGAAAACATCTTTCTGACCTTTGGGCAAGCAGAGACTTCTTGTAGAGGACAAAAAGTATATACTAACTATACAAGAAAATATTAATAAGTGAAACTTCATCAAAATGTAAAACTTCTGCTCATCAAAAGGCACCACTAACAATATGAAAAGGCAAGCAACAGGCAGGGAGAAAATACTTGCAATACATATAGCTGACAAAAGACATTAGCCAGAATATATAAAGAACTTCTATAAATCAATAACAAAAAAAAACCAATTTTTTAATTGAGCAAATGTATATGAACTGATACATAACAAAAAAGTTACACAAATGGACAATAGGCTTATGAAAAGGAGCTCAACATCACGGGTTATGACAGCGATGCAAACCTAAGCCAAAAGAAAAACGAAAATTTCAAAGCACACAAGGCTTACTTGGCAGGAGACTTGCAGGATATAAATGTGCATTTGGGACTTGTGTTTTAAGGACCGCAGTATCTGTTTGGCTTGAGGACCATGCATAGGGCTTTTTCCCTCATCCTCATCAAAATGGAACCACAAACCACCCTGGTTTGTATGTATAGTTTGTGGTTTACAAACCATCTATCTTTGGAATAGATACCAAAGACTCAAGGAGACTCAGAGTGAGGTTCAAGAGATGCCTCTCCACCCCACCCCATCAGATCTTGCTTTTAATTTCCCTCTTCTAAAAGATCTGCTTCTCAACAAGCTGCTGACACCCCAGGGTCTTGACCCTGACTGCTCTCAGAGTCAAAGTATACAAAGATCCCCAGGATATAAGCAATGTGGGACTGGTATCTCTGGAGGATATGGAACCACACAGTGATCGGAGCATGTCCACATCGTCCCTTCAACTCAGCAAGGGTCAACACCCAAATGCTACTCGCACTATAGGGAGAGTCAGGTCAGCAAAAGCAGCTGAATGTCAAATCGATACCAAGTGAATTTGAGTGTAAGCATGCCAAAGAATGGGCTCTATTTGTTAAAAGTGGTATGAGGCTTGAAATGCAACTCCAGTTTCAGCCTTAGTCTCTGAGAACCTTTAGGAGAAAGATGAAGTTCCCATTTAAAAGAAAAAAATCAAAACCAATTAAATCTATGTGAGGTGGGGAGGGGAACCCACATGGCTGGAGGAGAAACACCCTGAGTTACAGAAGCCAAGGGTTGGGGAGCAGGCCTGGGGAGCCCAGAAGAGCTCATTAGGAGTCCTGAGTTGTTGGGTGAGAACAGAGGTTCTCGGGGTGGTGGGGCGGGGGGGGGAGTTGGCGTGCAGCAGACAAGTGCATGCACTTTATTCTGGCTGCCTGGCGCATCTGTCCCATTTTCTCTGGCTCCTGCCTGGACAGCGTCTTGCTTCTCATTTGTCGTCTCTACTGAGGCCTGGAGCAGAACGGCCCTGGAGCCCATGCCCTGCTCCACAGCTTAAGGAGTGTCATTTGCGCCCCACCCTCAGGAGGAGGCCTGGCCAGTGGTCAGCCCACTATCCCATTGGCAGGGGAAAAGAGGAATGGATCCCTTGTCCTGCCTTCTCATTCTTCCCACCGAGGCTCCACTTCCTGGGGTGCTGACTGTGCTGTGGGTCCCTTTCCTCATCCTTGTGCAGCCTCATCTCCTCGCTTCTGAGGATGGGACCGAGGGCAACATGAAGCACGGGGGAGGACTTGAGGTTAGAGGGCATGACTAACACAGGCCTCACCTGGGGAGCTGTCACCTGGAAGCCTGGGCAGCCAAGGGTGTCACATCAGCACCTGAAACTCAGAGTAAGCCCTGCAGCTTCCTCGGAGGCCCCTGTCCCCTCTCTGGGTTCCTATGGATCTTACAGTCCCACCACCCCATGTGAAGTAGTACTGCACAGTCATTAAGACCATGCACTCCGGGGTCGCCTGGGTGGCTCAGTCGGTTAAGCGTCTGACTCTTGATTTCAGCTCAGGTCATGATCTCAGGGTTGTGAGATCGAGTCCCACGTTGGGCTCTGCACTGAGTGTGGAGCCTGCTTAAGATTCTCTCTCTCCCTCTCCCTCTGCCCCAACCCCTGCTCTCCCTCTTTCTCTCTGACACCCCCCCAACCCCGCTCAAAAAAAAAAAAAAAAAAGACCATGCACTCTGGAGCTGGAGTGGCTTGGTTAGAATCCCAGTTCCACCCTTGCTAGGCCCTGATCTTGACCAAGTTATTTAACTTCCCTGTACCTCAGTTCCTTCATCTGTAAAATGAGCTCACAGTGTAGTTATGATGACTACCGAGTTTACGGAATGTGCTTACAGCAGTGCCCAGCACAGAGTTAGAAAATCAAAATCAGTAAGGAAAGGGTACTGGCAAAAAAATAGACATATAGATCAATGGAACAGAATAATAAAGAGCTCAGAAATAAATCCATGCTTATATACTCAATTAACCTATGACAAAGGAGGCAAGAATATACAATGGGGAAAAGACAGTCTCTTCGATAAATGGTGTTGGGAAAACTGGACAGTTACATTCAAAAGAATGGAATTGGACCACTTTCTTATGCCATGCACAAAAATAAACTCAAGATTAATTAAAAACCTAAATGTGAGACCTGAAACCATAAAACTCCTAGAAGAAAACATAGGCAGTAATTTCTTGGCTGTCAGCCACAGAAACATCTTCCTAGATATGTCTCCTCAGGAAAGAGAAACAAAAGCAAAAAAAACTCTTGCACAGTGAAGGACACCATTGATAAAACAAAAAGACAACCTACTGAACGGGAGCAGATATTTACAAATGACATATCCAATAAGGGGTTAATATTCAAAATATATAAAAAAACTTATTCAACTCAATCATAAAAACACAAATTATCCAATTAAAAGTGGGCAGAGGATCTGAATAGACATTTTTCCAAAGAAAACATCCAGATAGCAATACACATACACATGAAAAAATGCTCAACATCACTCATCATCAGGGAAATGCAAATCAAAACCACATGACATACCATTTCATACCTCAGAATGGCTAGAATAAAGAAGACAAGAAATAACAAATGTTGGCAAGGATGCGGAGAAAAAGGAACCCTTGTGCACTGTTGGTGGGGATGGAAATTGATACAGCCACTGTGGAAAAGAGTATAAAAGGCCCTCAAAAACTTAAAAATACAATTACTATATGATCCAGTGATTCCACTACTGTGTGTTTACTCAAAGAAAATGAAAACACTAATTTGAAAAGATAGGCGCACCCCTATGTATATTGCAGCATTATTTATAATAGCCAAGATATGGAAGCAACCCAAGTGTCCACCCATACATGAATGGATAAAGAAGAAATGGTATACATAGAAATGGAATATTGCTCAATTATTAAATATAATATGATATAATGCTAAGGGAAATAAGTCCATCAAAGAAAAACAAATACCATATGATTTCACTTGTATATGGAATTTAAGAAACAAAAATAAGACACAAACAAAACGCCAGACTCTTAAGAACAGAGAACACACTGACGGTTTCCAGAGGGGAGGTGGGTGGTGGGATGGGTGAAATAGATGAAGGGTATCATGAGTACACTCATCATGATGAGCACTGAATAAAGTATAGAATTGTTGAATCATATTGTACACCTGAAACTAATATAAAACTCTATGTTATTTATACTTCAATTTTTAAAAAAAGGAAATAATATTTTGTACTCACTAGAATTGCTAAAATAAAAAAGACTGGCAAAAAAAAATGAGGCACAGAGATCATATGTCTCTCAAGTTCCCACAGCTAAGAAGTAGCAGAACTAAGGATCAAGTTCAGGCCACCTGATTCTTCATGCCCCTACCAAGTGCACTATACAGGTCTCTAAGTTCCCATACTTCCCACAATTCCCACTGAGGCAGGGGAGAATGAGCGACAGCTAATGATGAAGGGGACACTGACATCAGAAACCTACCATGAAGTTCTTCATGGTGACATCCTTGCTTACCTGTCCAGGGCCGTGCTGGTGGGCATACTCCTCCCAAACCCTCGAACCCCCATCTGACGGAAATATGGAATGCAAGAGAGGTTGGCAGCAATGATGGCCAGTGAGTCAGAAGGGCTCACAAAGAAGCCATTTCGGCCTAGAATCATATAACGGTCCTGTCAGAAGGAATGGATGAAAATGATCAGACAGAGGCATCTGCTGCTAGCACGCCATTCCCATAATCATCACAAACTACTCTACCACCATCCTATAAACAACCTAAAACAGTTTGAATGAAGCCAAAGAGGGCATGAGAAACCTTCTTCTAAATTCCTGAGTATCGTAGGGCCCAGGACCTTGACACAGTTAGGAATGTGTCCCAACTGTTGAAATGTGGATGACTATCTCAAGCTTCAGTACCCTCCATATACTTATACAAGAATTATTGCTGAAATACCTTGTTCCTCAAGATGGCAGTTTTAACAAAACCAACCATAAATAAAGATTTATTGCATGAATTTTTTTTAAAGAAATAACCTTTTTATAACATAATGATACCCTGGAACTAAGAAAAGTAAAAGCTATTTAACTGCAATACAGAAGAGCCATTAAAAAGAAGAGCAGAGGCAGAACCAGTTAGGGTTCAAATGCCCCATATGTATCAGCCAGCCCCGTGAATTCTCTGGATTCCGATGCTTGGCTTATTATCTGGTAAAAGGGTCAGCAGGCAGGGAAATTTCCTACTTACCCCATCAGCATCAAATGCAGCTCCAAATCCATATTCTCCTCCTTTCATAGCTTCCAGAAGGGTTGTTGCATATGTCAGGTTTGGGTCAGGATGCTGCCCTCCAAAATCTTCCAAGGGAACACAGTTTATTGCAGAATTGGCTGGAGCTCCAAGCTCATCACACAAGACTTTTCTCACATAGGGTCCCATGACTAAAAAGAGATAAGTGGCAATATGAAATCTTTGCAGAAACCCCCGAGAGTGTTCTGTTCTGGTTAGAACAAGAAAGACCATTTAATAGCACAGGATAAAAATTCTACAAGCTTTGTCAAGACACAACACAGAGTAATACTTATTTCAATTAAAATTCATTGAGTACCTACCATGTGCCAATTGCTATGCTGGGCATATAGATGTATCCCATAACCAGTTACATAAAATTTTTCTCCAAAACTTTTCTAATATGTTGCCAGAAAGAAATCAACTACTTAATAATGATCCATTGTGTGTTGCTTTTTATGTATTTAAAAAAATTGGCTAAATATAGGCAAAAGCACTAAAGGCTCTAGGAATGTTCTTTGTCTCTGCAATCACTTTAACTCTGCCAAGTATATAAATGGACACTGTAAACCACGGAAGCATATAAAACTAAGCATATTTTACAAAATAATTGCTAAGAAAAGGTATTTTCTAGTTCAACACATTTATGGAGTGCCTAACATGGAATTCCTAAGTTAAGAATAGAAACATCATATTCAAGGGATGCAGATCACACTGTTTCTACATTACTGGGCTCTTAATCCATTAGTGGGATGAGTCAAATCTACAGGTGATTGCAGTGGTAAGACTGGTGCTATGCAATGGATATTTATGAAATAATTAGATCCAATGGCTTATGAGAAGAAACAACCACAGGTAAAGTTTCAAGAAAGAGGTAGCATTTCTGGAGGGATGTGAAGAGAGAATATAAATTTGATAGAGATGGGGAGTGGGGATGCCATCCAAATGGAAAGGACATAATGAACAAGGGAATGGAGCCTGAGTTAGAACATACAGCAGATTTGGGGACCAGCATGTAATCTGGTTGGCTGAAATATATGTAAAGCATTGTTTTCCATTTAATTTCCACTAGTACAACACAACCCTCAAACACTGAATATCTTTTGATTTTGCCTGTCCAGCACTTATTTCCCCTTCCTCTAGTTGCAATATTTTGGGATTCCTTTGGAGACTAAATCCCTTCCCCATCTTAGTTCTTATGGATAAATCCCACTTCTCCCAAGACTGAGAAGGTGACCTAGGTCTGCCCAATCAATATCCTCCATCCCTCAGCCAGAGTAATTGATTCAGAGATGGACATATAGTATAAGTTAGGCAATGAGGCTCAAAACCAGATATATTGATCAAAATATTTAGAAAGAGAAACTGTCTTCCCTCTAGGCCAGATGATACTAGGGCAAGAACCTGAAAAATCCTTTTCTGGGGAATATGATCAGCCCAATAAGAAAGAAGAAAAAACCCAACCAGATGATCTCAGAGTAAAGCCCATGGAGGATGAGCTCCACACAGGGGCTCAGATCTCCCAACAAAATTTTTAGTGCCTCATTCTTAAATGTGCCAGACAGCCAAGGATCACCAAACTTTTGAAAAATGCAATTAACATGAGATCAAAACAAAAAGAGTAAACAGCAACCTGAGGAAACAGAAACTATACAGAGAAAAGAAAACTTTTAAAATATATATCAGCAATATTTTTTTGTAAGTGTACTTTTTCATTACATAATGCAATTAGCATAATTATAGGATATTAAATATTTTCAAATGTAAAGGTCCATAAAAAACAATTTTCTTTTTAAAGATTTTATTTATTTATTTGAAAGTGAGAGCAAGAGAGAAAGAGAATGAGCCAGGGGAGGGGCAGAGGGAGAGGGAGAAGCAGGCTCCCTGCTGTGCAGGGAGGGATTGATCCCAGGACCCTGGGACTATGACCTGAGCCCAAGGCAGATATTTAACCGACTGAGCCATCCAGGTGCCCCCATAAAAAAAAAAAAAAAAAAATCTTACAATTAAATATATCATTGGCTTAAAATACAGATGATAAGAGAGGAGGAGCAAGATGGCAGAGGAGTAGACCTGTTTCGTCTGGTCCCAGGAATTCAGCTAGATAGTTATCAAACCATTCTGAACACCTAAAAACTCAACAGGAGAGTGAAGAAAAGAATAGCAGCAACTCTCTGAACAGAAAAGCGACCACTTTCTGGAAGGTAGGACATGCAGAGAAGTGAATCCGAGGCGGTATTTGGGAAGATAGAACGCGGGGGGAGGGAGCCTCCATCAGCCCCTTACCGGCAAGTGATAGAGCAGCAGAGCACAAAACTGGAACTTTCAGAAGCCTGCTCCGCTGAGGGACATCGCTCCAGTGGCTAAGCAGGGGGTGGAACCCTCGCGGGACAGTGTGGTCTCAGG